TAGAGGGAGAGGAATACTTAAAATACATGACCTTTGTGTTTTCAAACAGATGAGAAGAGACTGCATCTGTGAAATCAAAGAATGCTATTTAAAGAGAAGAAAGATGAACTCTTGGTTAGTAGAAGGTTTGAAAGACAAAGTCTTTTTCAAGCAGAGAGATAGAAGATCAGAGAGAAAATAGAAAAGTATAAGTCCAGTGAAGTAGATACAAATAAAGGAATTCCATAAAGTTAAAATAGTGGGGAGAAATTTACTCATGACATGATTGGAGTTTCCCAGAACTATAAACACTGAGTTAAAAGACTGAAAGGGTCTTCTGAGTACCCACCATGATGGATGGAGATAGACTTTTACCTAAGGACATCACTAGGAAGTTTCAGAATCTCTAGAACAAAGACAGGACAGATATAGAATGATCGCTTTATAAGATTCTAACTATAAATTAAGAATAAGAGTGAATAGAGAAATTTTAAATATGCAGATTCTCATTGTACCCTTTATTTAGGAAGCTATGGGAGAATGGGTTTCCCATAACAAGGGAACAAAGCAAAAGAAATGAAACCAAGATACTGGGTGATAAAGTATCAACATAGAAGAGAGGCAAGGGGAATCTCTAGACTGATGGTGAAAGGAGGTATTCAGAGGACACCTGGGGATCTAGACATAGAAGACAATGAGTCCAGATTTCGAACTGCCAGAAATTTCCCATTGTTTGTATTTTAAAGTTAAGTGATAAGATTGAACATATTGAGGACATTAGAGAACCAAAGGAGAGGTAAAGATTAACTTAGTGTTGTGTACATTGTAAACTAAGCAATTAACCAATCAAAGTAAAACAAAAGGCAATTATTAAATTTAGGGAAAAAATGTGATACAGGAAGTAAGGTTAACCATATTCTACTGTATGGGTCAGCTATAAATAGTGTGCAATAGTCACAATACTGTAAATACTGAATAGAGATCAAACCAAAATTACCATAAAAGTATACTGGGAGTAGGAGAATAAGGGAAGTGTGTGTGTAGGGGAAGTGGTGGTGGTGGTGGTAGAGGAGGAGATCCTACTGGTACAGAAAGAGGAAAGAGGGCTAAATCCTTATCTTCTGTATTGATTAATTGATAATGCATAAAATTAAGAATTAGCAATTTAAAATTTTATTGAGATATTAGAAATGTGGAAGTTAATAGTAGAAAAATTGGCTGAAAGAGAAGGAAGTGGTTGCTTTTGGGGAAAGGGAAAAGAGATTGTGACTTGTTTTAACCAAATGCATGGAATAACATGCCTATTTGATTAAAGAAAAAAGTTCATAAAATGTCTTAAAGTTGAAATGCTAGCCAGGGGAGTCACTGTTGCACCATTTTCTGCACTGGGTTTAAGGATTGGGGAAAGTGTGAGCTTTTTATGCAGCTCTTCTTCCAGTGTGTCACCAAGGCTGCCTGTATTACGTTGAGGTGGAGGCTTTGGCTTCTCCTCCTCTTGGGGGAGCTGGGCTGGAGTTGCAGACATTTCCTAATTTACTCTGTTGCCTTCCTGTTCCTCCATGCTTCTCAGCTGTGCTGTCCCTTTTTTGTGGTTCCCATTACTCTTCCTCTTTTCTGAATCTAGTCTCTCCTGTGTACTCTGACTCTTCTCATTCATGGAGTCTGATGGAGAAAGCTTCTGTCTCACCACCTTGCCCCCAAACTTCAACATAAGAACAAATTTAACAGTTAAAACTAGCATTCAGAGGAAGTGTAAAGATTGTAGTTAAGTAACATATGCTAAAGAACCTCATGCTCTGCTTGGCAAATGTGTGTTCTTAAGAAAGAGTAATTCCTTCCCCTTCTCAACCAGTCAAAAAACTGTCTTGTGTGGTATTTTGATCTGAGGATGGAAAGTGGCTCTCATTTGAGGCCTCTGCTGTATTTGGTACTTACAGTCCAGTTGACCCTGTGGTGAAAGTTATTTTTAAGCAGACTTGGGATGGCCCAGAAGTAGTATGCTGATGCCACTTCTGGTTGACTTGAGTAGAATAAAATATAAGTGGACTCCTGAAGAAATAGAAAATGTGAATGGATCAGCAAAGGAATGGGGTTGGAGCCTCACCTCTCTTCATATTCAAAAATTAACTCAATCTGCCTGTGTAAGCTAAAATTGTAAAATAGAAACTCTGAGAAGAAAATATAGGTGTAAATCCTCATGACAAATCAGGCAATGGTTTCTTAGATATGATATTAAAAGTACAAGCAACCACAGAAAAAATAAGCCAGTTAGACTTCCCAAAATTAAAAATTTTTATGCTCCAAAAGACACTATCAAAAAAAAAAATTCCCAAGACAATTTAAAGAGTGGGAGAAAATATTTGCAAATGTAGTGTTCATGTCATATAAAATGAATTATTACAACTCAGTAATAAAAAGACCTAATTTTAAAATAAGCAAATGAAGAGAATAAAGGAGGGTGAATATGGTTGATGAATTTTCTATACATGTGTGAATACAGGCCATTGAAACCTGTGGAAGCCACTTTACGAAGGGGTAGGGGGAAGAGGATGAACCTAACCGTGTACGTTGTATCCATAAATGGAAAGGTCCCAATGAAACTCCCTGGGCAACCATTGGATACTAATAAAAACATTAAACAATGGGCAAAATAGTTCAATAAACCTCTGAAGAAGGTTTTATATATATATATATATAAAGCACATGAAAAGACATATAGCATTATTAGTCATTAGGAAAATGCAAACTTCAGTGAGATACCACTTCACTTGCATTAGGTTAGTTATGATAGGTAATAAATTTTGATGATGATTTAGAAAAATTGGAACTCTAATTTCTGTAGGGAATGCAGGCCCATTTTGGAAATTGTTTGGCAATCCCTCAAAAGGTTAAACAGAGAGTTGCATGTGACCCAGCAATTATGTTCCTAGATACATGACCAAGAGAAATGAAAACATAACCACAGAAAATGATGTACATGGATATTCATAGCAACATTATTCCTGATAGTTCAAAAAGAACCCAAGTGTGCATTCACTAAGGAATTCATAAAGCAACATAGTATAGCTATACAGTGAAATGTTACTGAGTCATAGGAAGAAATGATACACTGACTCATGCATTAAAAAAGTCCAGAATAGGAGACTCCATGGAGACGGAACATAGGCATAGTTTCTTGAAGTTGAGTGGATGAGGGAATGGGGAGTGACCATTAACATGCATGGGATTTGTTTTCTGGGTAGTGGAAATATTTTTGAATTAGGTAGCGGTGAAAGTTGCACAACTTCGTGAATATACTAAAAACCACTGAACTGTACACTTCAAAGAGGTGAATTCTGTGGTGTGAATTATATCTCAAGTTTTATTTATAAAACGGAAGTGTAGGGGAAGGTGGACAAGAAAGCTTGATCTATTCCTGGAGAAGGCACTAAGGTTTTCTGGTTCCTCAAATAATTGCCTCTTTAAATTGATTTAGCAGCTGGAGGAACAGTTTGTTTTACCTGTGTTTTGTGGGAAAATCTCTGCCTCCTGTGTTTGGTATCTTAGCCAGGGCTAGGGCAGCAGGCCTACCTAAACTTCATTCCCCAAATTCCCCAATCATTTCCTTTTTATTTATTTATTTATTTCCCAATCATTTCTTTATATGCCCCCCTGATTGTTAATCTTCCCAAGATCATCTGGGATCTCTTTGCCTATGTGAAATGAGTCAGATAAACCTGTACATCCTGTGACCTTGGATTAGTTAGTTTACCTTATTTGAACTTTCTTTTCCATTTCCATTACAATAAAATCTGCTTCTCAGGGTTTTGAAGATTGAATGAGATAATGGGTTTTTAAGTATTTTTCACAGTGCCTGGCCTGATGCAGCCCTCAGTTAGTGTTAGTTCCCTCTCTTCTCTACTTATTTCCTTTCTTTTAAAAAACAAAACAAAACAAAACTGGCCATGTGTGGTCCAGCATATCTGCCATTCTAGTACTTGAGAGGATGAGGCAGAAGGATCAGGAGTTTGAGGCCAGCCTGGGCTACATAAAGAGACCTTATCTAAAAAAATGCAAACAAAATACTGTGGTAAAAAGCATATTCCTTACAGGTCAGAGGTTGTTCTACTCTGACCTGGCTCCCGGGCAGCAACAGATTGCCTGTGACAATATAGGGTTTTTTCTTTCTTTTTATCAGTATGCTCACTGCTGTGCCTTTTCTAGTACCTGGCACATTGTTGTAGGTACTCAGTGAGTTTGGATTTCCTAAGAGACCACACAAACCATCTACATGGATTTCCCAGCCTGGTGCTGAGAGGTTGCAGTGTCAGCATAGTCCGTGACAAAGGAGCATTGTTACAGTTTCTTTGGAGGCTGTGGGACATCCACTTGTGCTGAATAGCAGAGAACTTAATTAAATTTAAAACCCAAGGAGAGCAGAGGCTGGACCCCCCCCCCACCACCACAAAACAAAGGCTAGCTTTTCAATTCTTGCTGTCCGGCTTCACCAGGAGTTTTTCCTCCACCAGCTTGTACTATGCAGCAGTGAACACTTAAATAATACAAAGAGGCAGTCCCAGGTTCCTATTATCTTAGAAAGGTTTGACTTATGACCAGGCTGTCTGAATGTATTTGCAGATTAACCTTTCCAAGACATATTTAGTTCACTCTTGTGTTCCTTCTTCCTTTAAAAAAAACCCCCAAAACCTGAATGAGCGATTAATGCATGTGAAAAATATTGGAGGGGAAAAAAAGAAAGAGGGCCTTTAAAGTGTCATTTTCTGAGCAGTAGTTCCCAGAAGCTTTCCCAGTAGGAACTTCCTTTTCTGTAGGCAGAATAGTTTGGGGTTATATTTGAGGAAGTCAAAACTGCTGAGTCTGATGCAAAAGCACATTCTCTATTTGCTTGTTTTATTTTTTTCCTTCCTAGGAGCTAGAGGAATTGACCACGTGAAACCTGGAACTGTTTCCTCCATTCTTGTTTCTAAGCCCCAGAATTAAAATGATAGACATTTCATCTGAACCTTCTCTCCCCTGTCTAGGAGCGGAAAAAGAAATTTGAAAAGGACGGTGAGAGGTTTTATTCTCTATTGGACCGCCATTTACACCTGTCATCCAAAAAGAAAGAATCTCAGTTACAAGAGGTATGTTCACAGTGCCCGACTCTGCCTTCCATTGCCAGTCACACTGCAGAAAGTGGCAGTTTCCTGTTGCCAGGCTTTCCCCTGCCACGGCTCAGCAGGGGACCATGTGCCATAGCAGCAGTTGAAACATGGCCCTCAGAGTTCCTAGGCAGCACCTCCACTAACTCTCTGTGTGGCCTTAGATAAGGTATCTCACTCTTGGTTGTGTGAGAGGAGAGAGGTCTCTGATTGCAGATTCTACACGAGGATAGAATTAGAGTCATATTTGGTAGATTAGGAACAGATCCTCTTTTTTCCCCGTGAGTTATTTCATTGCCTCTTTTTGGAGTGGGGGGTTGGTGACCAGGACTATTGCTTATCTGGGACTTGCAGTGCCTGCAGTTCACAGTAAGCCACTATTTACTGGGAGCCTGCCACATGCCAGTCACTATGCTGGCTGCACCAGGATTACAGAGACAGTAACACAAGGTCTTCTGTGTTAGAGGCTGACAGTTGGGATGCTAGGATAGGTGTGTACATTGCTCTTACATAAGCACAACGTTTCCTTACTGTAACGTTCTGTAGATGTGGTAGTCTTGGAGGAGGGTAGGGAAGTGGAGAATTGAAGACTTATATTTGGATGTAGGAATTGCCTTTGTGAAGAAGATTGCCCTTCTAATTTGAAATAGGTAGATAGAAATGGAAGAATTAACCTTTCAAATGGAGGCCTGTGGGCTCAAGGATGGAAAGCACAGAGGATGTTTGGGAAATGATTTGGCCAGAATTTGCATTACTGCTAGAGACTAGTTAAAGACAAGATAGGATCAGGCAAGTCGAGGCCATTTCGTGCTGAACTGGGCTCAGGAGGTTGCATTTAATTTTCTTGACCCTGGGGGACCATTGAAGGCTTTTGGTCAGGCAGGTCACATGAAGAGAATTCTGTTTTAGGAATCTTAAACTGGCTTGGATTGTAAGATAGATTATGTCAGGGAGAGACTAGAAGCAAGGAAACCAGATCAGCAAGCTATTACAGTGGTCCAAGGGAGAGGGGCTGAGTCAAAAGAGTGCTATGGGGATGAGATGGAAGGAATTAACTGATGATGAACTTTTTAATGGAAGAAGGGATCTATGTGTGGGATAAAAGATGCAATAAAAATGGGAATATTAAGATTCTAGAGTGAAGAGAGATACCTGATGGAGTAAGGTCATAGACCTGTGCTGTAAAGCTTTTTTACGGTTTGATGTGGTCTGAGTATGTCCTCCAAAGGTTCATGTGCTAGAAGTATGGTCCCCAGTATGGCATTGTTGAGGAAAACCTCTAAGAGGGGCTTAGTTGAAGGCAATTAAATCATTGGGGCACTGATCAATGTCGTTCTCTTTTCTACAACAGCAGGTTAGAATACACACACATACACAGTGAACCTGGCCATCGAATCCCTCTTGCTTCCCGTCTTTCCAAGTGATCTCTACCTTCCAAATGTACTTGGTTCCTTTTGTTTCTCTTTCACTGTGGCCAGCCAAACAAATGGGGTCTCCTGATCTTAGACTTTCAGCCTCCAAAACTCTTGAGTTGATTAACCTCTTCCCTTTATAAATTAACCAGCAACAGGTATTTTGTTATATCTAGAGAAAATGGGCTAATTCAAGGTTCTCAGAAATCATCTTGTCCAGGGTCACACAAACTGTGGAAGAAATAGAACTCATCTCCCGAGACCTGCTTTAGTGGGTATTCATCACTCCTGGGTGCATTCCAAGAGCCTCAGTGATGGATAGTTAGTATTGATCTACTTCTTTTCCATAAGCTAGAATTAATATTGGAGTCTTCTGCTATTTTTCATTTGGTTTTCTTCATTTTCCATGTGTTCTGGGCCACGGTTCCTGTGCAGACAAGAGTTAAAAACAGGCTGGAAACTGGGGAACCTGACTGGTAAACAGTCCCCCACACTGATAGGAAAGCTTCCCTAAATGGTAAGAGTAGCTCACTGTGCACAAATGGCCTGAATGAGCAATGTCGCTTTTATTGTACACCTTTTCTTTAGATAGTCTAGAATTTTGGCACATGCTGGGCAGAGGGTAGCCTAGGGGCCTTAGTTTCTAATGAGCTTCTCTGGCAGACATTTTACCTGTGTTATTATAGCTTCTTGAAAGAGGAATGAAGTGTGTCCTTTGTCTCTTGGAAGCTCTGTTGTTTTCTCTTGACTGAGCCCCATGACTTTTTCTCATTGCTGATTTTTTGGTATCCTTTTGCTGAAGACCGGCTGAGCTGTGGGTGTGGCTATGTGCTGAGTCTTGATAGTCCTCTGAGTGAATTGTCAAACCTGGGGATGGCAGTAGGGACCATGGGCATAGTCATACTTTTGGATGCTTTTCACTGTGAAGGTTTCTAGAGTGTTATGGTGTTGCAAGTAGATATCCTTGTTGACATTCCTGATGAGCAAGGCTGTAGTCTTTATACTGCTTTGGGAGGACTTTGGATCAGTCACTTTATTCAATTAAGAGATTTTATTTGTAGAACACGTTAAGGTTTCTAGAAAAATTTAATGGAAAGTACAGAGAGAAGGTACTGGATCCCTGAGGCCCGTGTGTCACTTTGGTGTGGTACATTGTGACAGTTGATAGGCCAGTGGATTGTGCATTCTGGGGGTTTTGATAAATGTATAATGACATGTGTCTAGTATCACAGTGTCACATAGAATAGATTCACTGTTCTGAAAATCCCTGGCCACCACCTATTCATTCCTCTCGGCCCATCTGAAATCTTGGCAACCACTGATCTTTTTCTAGACTTCATAGTATTGTCTTTTCTAGAGTGTCATATAATTGTAATCGCACAGTATGTAGACTTTTCAGATTGGCTTCCTTCAGTTTATTGTTCCTCTGGGTCTTTTCATGACTTGATAGTGCACTTCTTAAGTAATAATACTGTTGTCCGGATGTACCAGTTTGTTTATTCATTCACCTGTTAAAAGACATTTGGGCTGCTTCTGAATTTTGACAGCTATTAATAAAGCTGTGATAAACATTTTGGGGCAGGTTTTGGTGTACAGAAGTTTTGAAGATGTTTGTGTAAATATCAAAGAGTACAATTGCTAGATTGTGTGGGAAAGGAGAGTACTGTTTTCCAACGTGACTGCCCCATTTTTCACTCCCACCAGCAAAGAATGAGCCTTTCTGTCACTCCACATCCTTGCCAACATTTGGTGCTGGCTGTGCTTTGGATTTTAGCCATTCTACTAAGTGTGCAGTGGCATTGCATTGCTGTTGTAATGATACGTGACATCGAGAATCTTCTCATAAGCTTCATTACCATCTGTATGTCTTCTCTGGTGAGGTGCATGTTCAGACATTTGCCTTTGAAAAATTGGGTTCTTTTCTTACTGCTGTGTTTTAAGAGCTCCTTGTATATATTAGGTGCCAATCATTTATCAGACACATGTTTTGCAAAGATTTTCTCCTGTATGTGGCTGTCTTTTCATTTTCTTAATAGGGTCTTTTGCTGAGCATGAGTTTTTTTTTTTAATTTTAATTAAGCTTAAGTTACCAATTTTTATTTAATGGATCATGCTTGTGATGTTATATCTAAAAATCATTGCCAATCTTAGGCTGCTAGAGTTTTGCCTCTCTCACTCTCACTTTTTCTTTTATTTTATATTTTTAGTATTGGGGTTTGAACTCAGGGCTTCATGCTTGCTAGGCAGGTGCTTTCCCACTTGAGCCACTCTGTCAGCCATCCTTTTTTTTTTTTGCACTGTTAAGATTTGAATTTGGAGCCTTGCACTTGCTAGGCAGGTGCTGTACCACTTGAGACATGTCCTTAGCTCCTTTCGCTTTGGTTATTTTTCAAACAGGATCTTACATTTATTCCTGGACGGGCATGGGCCATGATTCTAACTATGCCTCCTGGTTTCTGGGATTACACTTGTGTTCCATCATGCCTGGCTTTTTTGTTGAGATGGGGTCTCACTAACTATTTGACCTAGCTGGCCTTGAACTGTGCTACTCCTAATCTCTTCCTCCCTAGGAGCTGGGTTTGCAGGCATGCCTCACCACACCTGGCCAGATTTTCTGTAATATTGTGCTCACCACAGGCATTTTATTTATTTTTTTATGTAGCTCTATCATATATACACATATACACACATATACATTAATTTTCTATTGTTGTGCAGGGTGGGGGTACATTGTGGCATTTACAAACATTCTTACAATATATCAGATATATCATACTTGAATTGAACTCTTTCACCATTCTCCTGTATTCGCCTCCCCCCATTCCTGGAATAGTTTCAACAGGTGTCATTTTTCCATTTATATACATGTATACACAGAATTAGCACCATATTCACCCTCTTTCATCCTTCCCTCCCCTACTGGTATCACTGCCGCGCCGCCCCCCCACCCCCCAGACAGGACCTGTTCTGTCCTCCTGTTCTCCGATTTTGTAAAAGAGAAAAAAAATGACATTTTTATTTGTTTAAGATAGCTACACAAGGAGTTTCCTTGTGAAATTTACACACACACACACAGATACATATAATCTGAATTGGTTCGTCTTCTCTATTTTTCTTCTTTCTGGGTTTTACATTTAAGTCTATGATCCATTTTGAATTAATTTAGGGAAAGATGTAAGGTTAGTTTTTAGATTATTTTTTAACATAGATTATATAGTTAGTTGTTCTAATACCATTTGTTGATAAGACTGTTTTTGCTTTATTGAATTGCCTTTGCTCCTTTGTAAAATAAATATCAGTTGACTATATTTGTGTTGGGTTTATACATGGACTCCATTGATCTATTTGTCCTTTCATCAGATCACATTGTTCTGGATGCTGGATCTTTCTAGTAAAATTGGAATTGGATACTACTTATTTCTTTTGCTTTAATATTGGGTTGGCTACTATAAGTCTTTTGCTTCCGAATCAGAATCAGTTTGTTAATATTCACAAAATAACTTGCTGGCATTTTGATTGAGTTACACTAAATCTGTGGATCAAGTTGGGAAGAACTTGATCTTGGTGTATAAAAAGCTGTATTATTTCTCCATGTATTTAGGTCTTTGATTTCTTTCATCAGGGTTTTAAAGTTTTCCTTATAAAGATCTTGTACATGTTTTGCTTGATTTATGCCCAAGTTTTTCATTTCGATATAAATGGTATTGTGTTTTTAATTTCAAATTACGATTGGTCACTACTAGCACATAAGTAAACAATTGACTTTCATATATTAACTGTACATGCTATAGCCAGGAAATACTGGTTTCAGGAAATATTTGTTGATTTTGTGGGGCTTTCTATAGATGATCATGTCATCTGTGGACAAAGTTTAATTTCTTCATTCCCAATCTATGTACCTCTTATTTTCTTATCTTATTGCATTAGCTTGGAATTCAGTATGGTTTGAATATGATCTGATTTTGAATATCTTGTGGGAAAAGATCTGGCTTTTCATCATTAAGTATGGTACTAGATGTAGGTTTTGTGCAGATATTTTGGTGCCTGGAATTGAACCCAGGGCCTTGTGTGTACTAAACCACTGTGCTACACCGCCAGCCCCACATATTCTTTGTCAAGTTGAGGAAGTTCCTCTCTTAATTCAATTGCATTTTCTATACCTACTGGTAAGATTGTATATTTTTTCTTTAACTTGTTGATGTGATGAATTACATTCATGGACTTCTGAATGTTGAACTATACTTGTTTACCTGGAATAAATCTCATTTGGTCATGGTGTATAATTGGTTTTAAACTTTGTTGGATTATATTTGCTAATATTTTGTGGAGAAATTTTGCAGCTATGTTCATGAGAGACATTTCCTTTATTGTAATGACTTTGGTTTTATTTTTAAAATTTATTTATTCATATGTGCATACATTGTTTGGTCATTTCTCCCCCCGCCCCCTGCCCCCTCCCTCTCCCCCCCACCCCCTCGATTCCAGGCAGAACCTGTTTTGCTTGGTTTCAGTATCAGGGTAATCCTAGCTTCAGAGAATGAGTAGGAAATATTCCATGTACTTTAATTTTTTTAGAAGAGAGTATAGAAATTTGGTATTACTTCATTAAATATTTTACAGAATTCACCATTAAACCTGTCTGGGCCTAGTGCTTCTTACATCAAAAAGCTATTAATTATTGAATCAAATTATTTAATAAATGTAAGCTTATTCAGATTGTCTGATTCACCCGTATGACTTTTGGCAGATTGTGTTTCAAAGTATAGGTCCATTTCATCCCGGATGTCAAATTTGTGGGCAGAGGGTTTCCTTTATTATTTCTTTGTTTTGCTTGTGGTGCTAAGGATGGAATCCCATGTCTTGTACATGCGAGGCAAGTGGTGTACCACTGTGCAACATCCCCAGCCCCTCTTCCATTCCTGATGTCAGTTTTTGTGCCTCTACTCTTTCCTTCTTGGTTAACCTGGCTACAGTGTTTTCTTCTACTTATTTTGGGGATAGCTTGTTCTTTTTGTTTGTTTGTTTTTTCTGTTTTCCTAAAGTGGAAGTTTGGATTATTAAAAATCTTTCTTCTGTCCTAATTTATGCATTTATGGCCATGAATATTCTTCTAAGCACTATTTTAGCTACATCCTACAAATATTAAGTTGTATTTCCATTTTCATTTAATTCAGAATATTTAAAATGTCCATTAAAACTTCCTATGTAGCACATGTTACTTAGAAATGTACTGTTTAAAAATTGATTTCCTGTATTATTTCTGTTCTTTTAAATTTGTTCAGGTATATTTTATGTCTTAGAATATGGTCTGTCTTGATTATTCCTTGTGACCTTGAGCACAATGTATACTCTGCTGTTGGATGAAGTAGTCTGTAGATGTCTATTGTATTCAGTTAATTGATGAAAACTTGGAGAAAGGATTCAAAGGAAATGCTAGAAATCTGAAACAGTATAGCCGAAATGAAGAATGTCTTCCATAGGCTCACCAGCAGAGCCAAGAAAGGAGGGCTGAGGAGTCAGTGACCCTTGGACTGGAGGTGCAGCTTATCACCTAGACTGATCCCATAGCCTGGCCATTGTGAACGGTGTGGCAGTAAACCTGGTGTGCAGATGTCTCTGTAGTAAGCTGATTTTGATTCCTGTGGTTATATACCCAGGAGTGGCACAACTGAATTATTTTGCTCATAACTTCCAAACATGTCTACTGGAAACAAAATCCTCCAATTTTTATTTGTTTTAGAAAGTCTTTTTCTATCACTTCTGAACTATAATTTCACTGTGTACAGGATTTTGATTTGCTATTTAAAAACATTATGTTTTAAACAGTGTTTAAAAACATTAAAGTTTTTTCTGTAGTTTCCTCTTTCCTCTTGGTTTCCTATAAGAAGTCTGCTATAATTCTTATCATTGTTTCTTTATTGGTAAGTTGTTTTCCCTTGTAGCTTCTTTTAAGATTTTGTGTCTTTGATTCTGTATAGTTTGAATATGGTATGCCTACATGTATATTTTAAAATACTTATCCTGATTGATTGGTGGTCTCAGATCTTGTGTTTAGTATGTCTTTATTTTGCAAAATTCTCACTCATTATTACTTCAGATATTTCTCTATTCCTGTCTCTCTTCTTCCTCAAGTATTCTGAGTGTATATGTTCCACCTTTTACAATTGTCCAGTAGTTCTTAGATATTTTACTTCATGTTTTTTATTCTTTATATTTTGATTTTTGAACTTTATATTGACTCATCTTCAAGCTCATTGATTATTTTTTTCTGTCATGCTGGGGGGGATCTTACCCAGTGCCTCATGCCTGCTGGGCAAGTGCTCTACCACTGAGCTACATCACAGACTCAGGCTCACTCATTCTTTCCTCAGCCTCCTGGTGAGCCCATTAAACATATTCTTCATTTCTGTTACAGTGGTTTAGATTTCTAGCTTTTCCCTTGGATGCTTTCTAAAGGTTTTCATCTGCCTTCCAATATTATAGGCTTTTATTGATCCCTTATCATATTAATCATCATTACTTGAAATTCATAGTCTTATGCCACAACCTCTGTTTTATCAGCATTTATTTCTGATGCTTGCATTTTCTTTAGATGGGATTTATTGACTTTTAGCATTTCTTGTTGAGAGCCAGAGTCCTAGTCTGGCTAGGACTTAGGCTGTGCTTAGTTTGCTATAGCTGTAGTTTTCAGAGGCTAATTTTTTCCCTGGTGTCCTTGTTTTGTCTTTGAGATTTCTTCTTAAATAGGTTGCAGGTCTTAATGAAGACTTGAAGTTCTTTCCATTGTAATCCCCTCAGTATCGGTGATAGCAACACGCTTTGCTCCTGGGCTTCTGCTCTGGTGAGCTGTTATGTTCTGTGTTGACCTCTGTCCAGTTTTTGAAGCAGCAGTTTTCTCTCTGACTTCATTTCTCCATTGGATCTAAGAAGAGTTGATTTTCCACTTTTTCAGCATTTTTCATGTTCCGAAGATGGGTGTGATGGCTTCCAAGCTCCTTGCGTGCTGTGGTTAAAACTGGAAGCCTTGGGTCAATCACATTTTATATCTCGGCCTCATATTCTCTCTGTATAAAATAAAGAATAGGGTACTTGTTGGTGGCTGAATGCTTCCTTACCTCTAGAATCTTATTGAGGTCATAGCACTGACTTTTAAAATGACTGCCCATTTGTGACTTTTGCTGCCCTTCTTCCACAGGCAGACCTCCAGGTGGATAAGGAGAGACATAATTTCTTCGAGTCCTCCCTTGATTATGTTTATCAAATCCAGGAAGTTCAGGAGTCCAGGAAATTCAATATTGTGGAGCCGGTAAGTTCTGTCTGCTGATGAGTATTCTAAAAGTATTTTCCAAATGCCAGGCAAATGGAGGAATTGGATCAGAAATTGCCATCTCAAAAGAATGTAAAGGGCAATCACACTGGCTTCTGTTTTTCTTCCTCTCTCGCTAATAAATTTGTGTTCTTTCCCTTGCTCACCTCTCCCCCTTCCTTTCTCACTCTTCCTCTCTCCCTCTCTTTTGCCCTATTTTCTTTCATCTCTTTCCTCCTTTCCTCCCTCCATCTCTGCGGTTTTCTTACCTTGTTCCTCTGCCTTGCTTCCTCTCATGCTCTCAGAAAGTTTTCAAAAGCACCCAGTGTACATCTGATCCTGTGCTAAGAACTCAGGTCCTATGCAGTCAGTGACTTCCCATTCTATGATTTTTATTTCTATCTTGTGTATTTTTTCCATTTCAGTCTTCTTAATTTATTAAAAAGGTGATGTACTTTGATTCCACAAGGATATTAAATTTTGCTAACTATTTATAATAAAATAATGCACTCATTGCAGAAAAGTTAGAAAAATGCATAGAGTGAATGAAACAAAAACAACAAATCCCTCATGCAGACATAATCACTGTGGTAGTACTTTCCCTTCCAAATCTCTGTTTGTATAACCTACATCTTCCTCTATCTATGTGTGCATGTGTACTTATAGGTACAGAGCTGTGTACACATGTGTTTCATGTAAGTGTGTATATCTGTGTACAAATGTATTGATGCCTATATTTGTATAATCTGTGTGTGTCTGTGTGAAAACAACTACTTAATCTTTTATTGAACATGCATTAAGTTTCTGTTACATTCCAGGCAGTGGGCTAGGCAGAGCAGTGAACAAGAAAGACTGTTTTTCTTTATGAAGACTACACATTCATGGGGTACATTTAAAGGAAAGTAGGATGCATGTCATTAAAATAATTATAAGTTGTGGTAAGAGCTATGAAAGAAACCAAAAAGGTAAAAAATAAAGAACAAAAATATAAAAATATGGGTCAAGAGGCCAAGGAGGACCTCTGGAAGTGCCATTGAAGAAGAGAGCTAAAAGAAGAGAAGATGCAGCCATGGGAATTGTGGGAAAAGAGCACTCACACACACACAAACATGTATACAGCTTTAACTTAAGTTAGAAAAAATGGTGTGCTCACAGAATGAAAAGCTTTGAGGCTTCAGATAATAGTAGAAAGGAAAGGAGACTGGCATGAGAGAATGTCTGCTAGGAAGGCACAGAATATGTAGGCATGGTAAATGGTTTGGATTTCTGTCTATTTGCAGTGGAAAACCACTGAAGAAGGGTGTTCTCAGGACCTGATGACAGTCATTTTTGTTATGTGGAGAATGGCTTAGAAGGGGCCAAGAGTGGGTATGAGGAAGCCAGTTAGGAGGGTACTACAATGGCCTATGAAAGAGGAGGTATTGTCTTAGTTTGGGGAGCGGTAGCAGAAACACTGAAGAATGGCTGGGTTAGAGAAACATTTTGGAGGCAAAAGTAGTAGAAGTTACTGATGAATTAGACCAGAATCTCAATGATAGAAATCAGGGATGATTCTTTAGTTTCTAGCTTAACTGATGGGTGGTAATGTCATTTTCTGAAATGAAGAAGCTTGGAAAATAGGAATGATTGTGTATACGAGTGTGAGTGTAGTCCACACACCTATACTACCTGTGTCATAATGTACACGCATGTGTTTTATATGTATATATGTATATAGTTTGTGTACACACACATATGTAGTAAGTATATGCATGTGTGATTATATGTGCTCACCTATTTGCTTTCTAAAAAGAATGGAACAGTTTTTACTACTATTACACTTGGATGGCATTGTATATTTATTTAAAAATATTTATAATTTGATAAAAATTATTTCTTTTGATTTTGTTTATGTTCATTTGGTTTTTAAGGGGGTTGAACATTTAAAAATATATTACTGGCCATTTTTGTGTCATCTTCTACACTTCCCTGAAACATTACTAATTTAAAATTGGTTCAGATTCCTTTGATCTTTTGGCATTTTGACAGTCTTCATTAAGGTACAGAATCTTATTTTATTCATCTATTTGCTTATGTGTTCATTCGTTCTATAAATATTTGTTGTGCACATACGATATGCCAATCTTGAGGATGTATAGGTTGAATATCCCCTATCCAAATTGCTTAGGACCAGAGGTGCTTTGAATTTTGGATTGTTTTGGATTTTGGAATATTTGTGTATATATAATGAAATATCTTAAAGAAGGGACCCCAGTCTAAATGCAAAATTCATTATATTTCATATACACCTTATACATATAGCCTGATGGTAATTTTATGCAGTATATTTAGTGCACCTGCCTTTTGAGATCTGTCACATGAGGTTCCTCAGCTGTAGAATTTTCCATTTGTGGCATTATGTCAGTGCTTAAGAAGTTTTGGATTTTGGAGCATTTTGGATTTCAGATTTTTGGATTAGGTGGGTTTAACCAATATAGAGAAAAGACACACACACACACACACACACACAAAGGCACAGTATGTTCCCATGTTATCTAAGTAATAAATGGTTTTGCATGTGACAGGAAGAGGATCTGCTTGAATAAATTTGTTATTTACTTTCTGAAATGGAGTTTAGAGTAAATGTTTAACACAATATGAATATAGTTATGTGGAAATCTGTTTGTGTTTTCATGACTGCTTTTAACACTGGACTGGGTAGAGTTTCTTCTTTGAGTTCATGGTTCCTTTATTTGACTAATTAGGAGGCGCTGGTTATAAAGTTATTTTTGCATGTTTTCCTCAGGTCTTGGCCTTTCTTCATAGCCTCTTCATTTCCAATAGCTTGACTGTGGAGCTCACACAGGATTTCCTCCCATACAAGCAGCAGCTCCAGCTGAGTTTACAGAATGTAAGTTGCATGTGGGTTTCTTCACCTGTCTCACCAACTGAATTTAACACCCTGTGTTCTTAACCTTGGAATTCTAGATTATTGCATCCCAGACATTTTTTCAGGACATACCAGTGTAGGGAGCAAATATTTGAGTGTACTGGACTGTTCTTGATTTCCCAGTTTTAGTTCTTCCTGCCTTTCATTCTGACTGCCATTAAAACCATCCTTCCACCCACCAACATCTTCTATTCAGTGTTAAGTGTTGCTGCTTTGTTGCATCTCTCTCAGATCAGAATCCAGCGTTAGGCTTATTTAAGTACAATCTTAAGCTATCCCCTCCCCACCACTTTGGGTTTTGTTACCTTGAACATACTTTGTATCTTCTGTTCCTTTTCTTACTACTTAATGAGTTAAATGATTTTCAAAGGTCATTTCTGCCTTCATTCTCATGCTGGTTCTTACAGAGGGGAGTAGGCACAGTCTTTGCATATATTGGGACATAATATATTGTAACATATTCTTTTACTCATTCACTGATTTAACCTTATTTAACCCACATGTGATGAATTTTTATAGACACAATGGACATAAACTGTGCAAGCCATTGTGAAACTCAAGGGACATACTATAACAAGGCATCTAAGTTTCTTTTTTTATTTTTGTGGTACTGGGGTTTAAACTCAGGGCTTTGTGCTTGCCAAGCAGGTACAATACCACTTGAGCCATACTTCTAACCCAGAAGCCTCTACGTTTATGTTGTGAAGTAACATAGTTTCTTGGAGGAGACACATAAATACAGATAAATTATAATCCCTATGGTGATTGCTATAGTAATCAAGACCAAAGTTTTGTTGTTGTTGTTTTTTGCAGTGCTGGAGTTTCAACTCAGGGATTCACACTTGCCAGGCAGGTACTCTAGCACTTGAGCCATACGTCCAAGCCCTTTTTGCTTCATTTTTTTTTTGAGGTAGGATCTTGCATTTATGTCCAGCTGGCCTGGATAATGTTCTTCTTATTTATGCTTCCTGCCTAGTTGGGATGACAGGCACACACCACCATGTCCAGCCATTGGTTCAGATGTGGTCTTGTGAACTTTTTGTCCAGGCTGACCTTGAACTGTGATCCTCCCAAGCTCTGCCTCCCAAGTAGCTAGGATTATAGGTTTGAGCCACTGTGCCCAGCTCTCAAGACCAATTTTTTTTTTGGCGTTTGAACTGAGGTTCTCACACTTGCTAGGCAGGTGTTCTACCACTTAAGATGCTCCTCCAGTCCCTTTTCATGTTGAGCATTTTTGAGACAGGGTCTTGTAAACTATTTCCCTGGATTGGCTCCAAATAGCCGACCCTCCTGATCTCTGCCTCCCGAATAGCTAGGATTGCAGACCTGAGCCACTGGGGCCCAGCAAGACCAGTTTTTAAAGAAGCTCAGAGACTGGAACAATTGGATGCCTGGTAGAGTCAGAGAAGGTCTCACTGAGGTCAGGTGACATTTTGACTGTGTGTTACATTGCATGACATTCATAAATGTACTTTTAGGTGAAAAATGCTGATACGTTACAGTGGAAATAAGCCTTACCTGGTTGTTTAGAAGGTTTATGACTTAAGATTTTTGTTGTTATTTTTTCTTTCTACATGTTCTTCCTTCTGGGTACTTACTCTCCTTTACCAGAATGTGAGAGGTCCTGTCTTCTGCTGATTTATCAAATCTTCCTACAACCAACTTAATCTCTTAAAACTCTTCTGCAATATATAACTTGATAAAGTATGAGTTTAACAATAAGCTTTTGCGTGTGTACACATGATTGGCTCATTTACAGCAACATTGATAGAGGCAGCCAACCCCTGCCCTTGTGTTTTAATTGTGTAGTTTTAAATAGCTTTCTTCTTTCCATTAGCCTTAATGTTTATGAGTGTGATACCGTAACTTATGTTGGCCTGTTTGCAAACTGAGCACTCTCATGTGTTTTATCCTCATGGCTAGAATTTGATTCAAGCTCAAGTGGGCAGTAATTGTATTTGAAGAAGTACTGAGAAGTTACCATGAGAATATTATTTTTGGGAATCTTCTTTGCAGTCTCCCTTATTTATAAAGCAATGATCCGTCTGGTGCTCACATTTCTAAAGTTCTCTACTTACCACAGCTGTATGTTATTCCCATTGGAGAAACCCTCTTGGATGTGTTTTTATGAGTATATTGCTATATATACTTTTGTTACCCTTCTAGTAAAACTCTGTAAAATCACTTTTAGTCACTGTGCTATTTGCCATTTATTTTTGCTATGTTTTAGACATGCTATAGGCAGAGAAATCTGCACTGGATCTATGATCAGTAAATAGTTATTCATGGCAAGGGTGAGGCTGATAGTGATTGTGATGATGTCTTCACAGACAAGAAATCATTTCTCCAGTACCCGGGAAGAGATGGAAGAACTTAAGAAAAGGATGAAAGAAGCTCCGCAAACATGCAAACTTCCAGGACAGCCAACCATTGAAGGCTATCTCTATACGCAAGAGAAATGTGTGTGGGCATACGGGGTATCCACTGGGTTACTGGAGGCTGGCGTTTACTGCCACTTGACCTTTCTGAACTTTGGGAGCCCATATTGTTCATAGAACCCAGTAGCTACAATCCCTGAGAGGGCAAATAGAAAAAACAAACAAACAAACAAACAAGGAAAGAAGGAAGGAAATAAAGAGAGGAAGTTAGGGGTTCATCTTACAAAGGCTTTAGAGTGATAAGTGAGAATTGTTGACTCTTTGGGGCAAGAAGGGAGGTAGGGGAAAGGAGGCAGAAAAATATTTATCATACCTACTGTGTGCCAGGCATGCTTCAAAGACACTGTCTCATTTAATCTTTGATTCTACCTTATACCCAGTTTGCACACGAGGCCACCAGGGCTCAGAGAAGTCACTATTTGAAAGTTGCCCAACTAACAAATAGCAGACCTAAAATTAAGTTCTGGTATGTGAGATGCCAAAACCCATCTCTATACCATCTCCCACCTTAGGACCACATGGTTGCTTTTAAAACATTTAATGACCGTTATGATTTCCGTAGGTGAGACAGTATTTGTTTCTCGTTGCTAACAAGGAAAGTGTGTTCACTCACTCAGTCCCTGAGTATTGCAGAACAGTCAAGCTATCTTACCTCCTAAGTAACATTTTGCAAACTTATATGTGTGATTTGATTTTTTTGAACGACGACCCAGTGCCCCCAAAGCCTGTGATTTCAGAGATGTCGACCTGCTCTTCTTCCCTTAGAGCAATTAACTTTTGCTGGCTTTCAAAGAAATGTTCTCTCACTGGTCAGATTTAGCTATTCAACCCTGCATCCCAGGGCTTCTCAATGTCAGCTCTGTTGACATTTTAGGCTGGACAATTTTTTGTTTGAGGGGCAGTCCTGTGCATCTTAGTATGTTTAGCAGCATCTTAGGCCTGTCCTCACTTTATGCTCATAGGACTCCCCAGGTGTGACAACCTAAAACGTCTCCAGACATTGCAGAATGTCCTCTCTGAGGTGAAATTGCCTCTAGCTGAGAATGTCTGGTTATATGCTGTGTGATCCTTCTGTAACCCAACTTCATGATTTTTCAAGTGGGTATGGCATTGCTGCTCAGTTGAATGTTTGCTTACGGAGCCTCATTTCTGCCAGACACTATGCAATGCACTGAGGATACAAAAGATGAATTTGCCATGTGTTTTGTCCACAAGAAGTTCCCAGTGTGGTAGCAGGGAGATAGATAAGTATATTAATGAAATGTGTTGAACACTCTGTTTGGACATAGCATATATCTAAGGGCTTCTCTGAAGAAGTGATGTTTGGACTAGGACTTGAATGTTGAGTGGGAATGTAGCAGGTGAAGAAAGGAGCAGAGAGAATTCCAGGTGTATACCATTGTATGAATAACAGCACAGGAGTGTGGGAGGACATAATTTATTTGTGGACCCTGGTTTGCTAAGGACAGCCCTGGTTGACATTTGTTATCCTGATGTAATTATCAATACTTCCTTATTCACTAGTAAATATGTCTTGGGTTTGGACTTTAAATTATATGGCCATGTTGTGATTTGGAAACTAAACATAATTCAATGAAATGGGAACATAGAGGCGAAGGTGCCAAAATGCAAAGCTAGAAAGGTGAGTTTTGATCACGTTATGAACGGCTTTGTAGGCAGACTGAGGAGTTTGTGATAGTGGGACAGCCATGGGTGGTTTATAATAGGGGAAATGATATAAATAGAAAGATATTTTATAAGTATTCCTCTAGCAAAAAGAATGGACTGGAAATAAGTGATCAGAGATGGGGAAATAGGAATGAAGTAATAATAAATAATTGGAGAAAAAAATTTTTGTTTTGTTTGAAATTTATCATAATCATTAAACAGAAATAATTAATTGGAGAAAAAAATTTTTGTTTTGTTTGAAATTCATCATAATCATTAAAAAGAAAAGACAGCAATAAGGCCCTTAACCGATTTAGTGCTAAAAGGGATGGAGTGGAGGAGGCAGCTGAAGGGGAGATATATAGGGGATAAAAGGGGCACAGCCCAAAGCAATCAGATGAGAAGTTACAGGAAAAGAAGATGACAAAAGTTTCTAGCTTCTGGGATGTATGGTGGTTCTATTCATGGGGAACATGATAGGAAGAGTAGGTTTGGAGCAAGCCAAAACCAGATGTGGAAAGCAGCTGGTGAAAATTAACATTTCCTAATGTGCCGTGGCAGGTGGCAAGGTGAGGCTGGAGCTTCGGGGAGGGAAGGGCTGGGTCTGGAGCTTGGCTGTCAAGAGCAAGTAGTAAACAGCTTTTGTACATTTATTCTCGCAGTTCAATTTTGCATGTCTTTGTAGGGGCTTTGGGAATATCCTGGGTAAAATACTACTGCCAGTATGAGAAAGAGACGAAAACGCTCACCATGACACCTATGGAACAGAAGCCAGGTTCTAAGCAGGTCAGTTCTTGTTTGGGCCACGTCTTTGGAGATGCATCTGTGACGCAGTATCAAATAATCAAGTCCATTACTGTCATATGAAGCCATGACGTTACATGTTCTCTGTGGCCTAAGTTTACATCAGGCCAAGTATCACCTAGTTGAGTAAAAATATCTCTCAGTTAACCCCATCAGGCCTTCTGAAGGAGCCTGAACTCTTCCAGACCATTTATTATTACAGGTACCTGTCAATTGTACAAAGAAATAATACAAAACTGTGGATGCATTGCCATTAAGAAGACTTTACTATAAGATTCTTTTAAGTAGCAAGTTTAAAAAATAGGAAATCTGTTTCCAGAGTTCCTTTTAAAAAAGTGTATGTCTTTGCCTAAATTTGGAATAACCTAAACCCACATTTTATGTACTATTCCATTATCTTTAAGCAGTTACTATATCTTTCTCTGCCCTTCAAACCTTCCCCTACTCCTCAATATGGCAAGGTGAGTTTAACGCACTGAGAGGAATGTTTACTAACTGGAAGAACCTGATGTTTTACACACATGCATTGTTGTTTCTGAAGGTAAAAACTGATTGGCAGGCAGAGATTGTTCATATTCTAAAAGAAGGTCAGTGTGTCTCCTTCCCCTTTAACTTGCTCTCATATGTGCTCTTAGTGTATGATTTTTTAAAGTATTTACAAATTGTTGGAAGCATGTCAAGATTCACTTGTTACCATTGAAAGTAAGGCATGAAGACCTCATTTAGGTAGGCAAAAGTTTGAAGAAAAATTGGCCAATTTCTGTCCATTATTGATGTTTCCCATGGACAGTCCTCTTGTGTGGCTTGTTCCTATATGAGAGGGAAGTGAGCTTTGGTTGTAGGCTGTTGAAAACTTCTTTTTATTTAGTCTTTAGTACGAGATTTGCCACTTTGCCTTGAATGTTGGTTGGAGATTGGATGGACTTCTTGCAAAATGTACTAAAGAGGGTTTCCAGAATACTCACCCATGCTTTTATTGTGGGCCATGTACTCATTCATGACTTCGAAACAGTCTCCAGTTTCCAGTCATCTGATTGCCAAAGTGCCTTTCAGCGTGGCTTCTATACATTCATGGTGCTGCACTGTACACTTTGTCCAAAGTCAGCTCGAACTCAGCTGATGTATCTGACTGGCAAATGCTTGTAAGCAATGCTGGCCTGCCATCTTTGGCTTTTAATTTTCTACCCACCTTGCTTTCCAAATCATGGATGTTAAAGTTCCTGTCATAGATAATGCTGTCATTTAGGCCCCTTCTTTCTTTCTGAGAAGTGCATATTGCAATGTCCAGCAGCTCCACAGCAGCACTGTGGAGTAGGTGTCATCACAGTTTGAAAGTGGATGAATTGGCCCTTTGTGTGACACTTACCAGTGACCTCTACTAGCTCATCCTGTCAACTCTCATTTGTGTTGTACTGCTCACTTTACTGGTCACCTCATAAACGGTGTTTTTTTAGATCCTCATGTCGCCCATGTTAGGAATTGTAGTATGAGAAAGAATGCTACGTTTTGAGTCTCAAGAACTGGGTTGCAATCCTAGCTCTGTGGTCTCCTTGCTTTTTGACCTTGAGTAAATTACTTAATGTTTCTGAGTCTCAGTTTCCTCATCAGAAAAGTGGCAACGATGACGATTTAGTTCATAAACATTTATTTAGCTCTTTGCTAGGGACTGAAGATATAAAGATGAATAAGATACTGCCCATGTCCTTGAGGTGTTCTCAGTTCAGCTGGAGAATCAGTCATGAAGATGAGATTTTTTAATATAAAGTACCAAGTGCAGAATGGGTAGTGCATGTGGCTAGGGGGAAGATTTTGGAGGAAATGAAAGCTAAAGTGTGGTTTTTAGAACAAGTAAGAGTTTAGCCAAGGCCAAGAACATAGAGAAAGTCACTTTGGGTAGAGGGAACAGCAAATGCAATGTCAGGGTATTATGAGTGGTATTTTTGTACCAATGGGACATAAAACAGGTGGAGGTAGCTGGAAATGAGGCTGGAGTTGTGGGTATGAATTAGCCCCTGAAATGTTCCTGAAGCAGAGAGAGGTGAGAGTTTAAAAAGGGAGGGTGAGGGCATGTATCTCACTCTCATCTGAAAAGACTAACACATAAGAGCTGGGGATGTAGCTTAGTGTAGAACCCTTGCCCGATCCCTAGCACCATACGTACATACACACTAAGGCTAACACACGGCATCCTGACTGTTGGGATACAGGAAGACATATTGAAAAATTAACTTAGGATTGAATTTTTATAGTGTAGAAACAGCAACAAGGCTTGATATGCAAGGGGTTGAGTGTGCACGGAGAGAGAAATGTCAGGTGATAAGTCGTGTGGGTTGGTTAAGATGGCATAGTGCCTAGATACACAGCTGGCATTGGACAACATTTCTGAATTTGAGATAGCAGGTAGGAAGTGTTAGTTTCATTTAATAGATTGTGAAGTGAAGGCTGAAAGGGGGAAACTGATTTGCCCAGGGTCACAGAGCTCATAAATGGCACAACTAATGCAAGACCCCAGGTCTTAAGCTTTCTAGTTGATTGCTGTTTCTACCATACCAACTTGGGTGACTTGAGTAAGCTATTTTGCCTCTCTAAGCTCCACCTCTCTCTAAGGGTTGTAGTGAGAAGAGTTGGTTTAAAAATGCCTAACATATTTTGTATGTGGCCCATTATAGGTGTTAAATGAACGTTACTACTCTTTCCTGTACCATACTGTCCCAGGTGAGATAATAGAGGGAAAGTGAACAATGGAGGACTGGGCAATTTTAGTCTTGGATACCATGGGCTTCAGTGACTTTAGGTGTTCACTCTACCCAACACATCTGAAATAATCAATTGTCACATTGACAAATATACAACTTTGCTTATCTCCCTTCCTTGCCCTGCCTTTGGAGAGATGATGGCTTTTGTGATTCCTGTCATCCTCAGGAGTCTAAAGATGGGGAACAGAAATGTTTGTCCTCCCTCTTACTTTCCCCATTAATGCAAACTTCTTTACTCACCTTCCCTCTGACCATCTAAGATGGTTTCAGAAAGCCACTTACCCTGTTGCAGTCTCCCTACCCAGAGTCCTTATGAAAGTTTTATTGTGTATACTTAGCACCATTTAGGCAATCCATTTTACCTCTACTGCCCTTAGGCGGTGTATATCCAGCTTCCTGTTTAATCTGCCATGCTTGGGAAAGAGCGCTGGCTTGCCCTGAGCATTCTCTCCTGATCGTCACCACTGATTCTTGGAAAAGGGAGAAACCATCTGCCATCTTGCTGCCAGTACCATTCAAAGGGACACAGTTCTCAGTGAGTCTACACATTGCACCTATTGCTTTGGTAGACACCTTCCAAGTGACACTGAAGACACTGCAGGACGCAGAAGAAGCTGCTGTGCATTTTTTCAAATTGCCTGTTAATTCTTCTCTCATATCAGGGACCCTTGGACTTAACCCTGAAGTACTGCGTGAGAAGGAAGACAGAGTCTATCGACAAGAGGTTCTGTTTTGATATAGAAACGAATGAGAGGTAAGCTGTGCTGCTATGAATTGACAATATCCCCATGGGCCAGTTGCTGAGCCTGGGCGGGTCTTTTATTTTCCTCTGTGTCTTCTCTTGTTGATGAAAATGAGCAAGTCTGTGTAAGAGGACGTTGACTCAACTCTTCAGTCTGCCTTTCCAAGGGACCCCTATTCACAGGGACCCCCATTCACAGAGACCCCCATCCACAGGAATCCCTGTTAGATCCAGCCCAAGGCTGGTTTTCTCTGTGCACGCTTTAGTTGGATTTGCCTCACGTGCTCTGAGCATAAAGTCTCTCTTAGGATTTAATTTGCTGTCACGTATGTAAAAGGTCAGTATTTGGTGATGCTGCACAAAGGACAGGATAACCAAGCTTGTTCTTTTTTCAGTCTCTTAATATAACATAAAAAAAACAAGTGGATTGACACACATTTTTTGAGGAAGACGGGATGGAGGGTGGCGGTGTCACTGGAGAGGTTTTCTCCACTTGGTACAAAACTGATGCAGGCTTTCCCTACTGTGTGGGTATTTGTATGAACTGGACTAGTTTATCAACTCAACCATTGGAGCAATAGTTTGCAAATTTTGGATTTGCTTGCATTGTTTTTCTCCAATGCCTTCTTTATTTTCCCTTGAACCTGAATAGTATTATTGCAGGAGAATTTAGCCTTTAAATTTTAAAATTAAAACATTTAGCATTATTTTGGAGAAAGACATGCTTTGCAGTTGGGAGGTTGACTCAAAATTCAGTGAATAAATATGTTTTTAGATTTCATTTTAGTCTGTCATTTCTATATATTACAACACAGAGTAATAGAGTAGAGTTTAAGAAAATGATCTGATGGCTAGATAGGTTCTTGATGGGTGAATTATAATACCATGAGCAAAACCATCAGTGACTAAGATCAAAAGATTAGACTGGGAGATGAGGGCATTTTTCTTAATTATGAGTAACTATTAGTGTAATAATTCCCTGTTTAATAAATGGGGCATTTTTATTGGGCCCTCAGAATTTTGATTTGTGTACCTGTATAACCTCTGTTAGAAGTGGATGATACCAATTATGGTGGCTGCACCAGTAACCGTGAGACTATCCCTCATTTTCCTGACAGTGGCAGGCCCAGGGAGAAGGGAAACAAGTGTGGGCTGTGCTTTCCCTTTATATTCCTATAGCATCTCTGGTTCTGCAGCATCAGCATACTTAAAAGAGGTTAAAATTTTCTGTGTCCAGTTCCATTGTGATTCCCCTTTCAGTTTAAATTTGCCAGCTACTTGCAAATAATGTCCCAACTCAAAAAGCAGTTGCAAATGGTTTGGCCCTGACCTTAGGAGCTTTGAACCAATGTATTTTTATATTCTCTTCCCCTCGTGGTGTTGGGGACCAAATCCAGAGCCTTGTACCTGCTAGGCAAATGCTGTACCACTGATCTATATCCTCCGTCCTTTATATTTCTTGTACTGTTTACTTTTTTGGTGGTACTGAGGCTTGAACTCAGGGCCTTATGCTTGCTAGGTGGGCGTTCTACTATTTGAGCCACTCCACCAGCCCTTTCTTGCGTTGGGTAATTTTGAGATAAGGTCCCAATTTTTGCATGGGCTGGCCTTGAACTGCGATCCTTCTGATCTCTGCCTCCTGAGTGCTAGGATTATAGGCGTGAGCCACCGGCACCTGACTGTTGTTTATTTTTAAATATTTTTTCCTTTCCCACAATGCTGAGGAATTTCGAGACTAGAACCCAGTGATTAAAGTTTTGTTGTGTCCATGATTTTAGTTACCATATATTGTGTGCTTTAAAAAACATTCCATTATTTAATCCCTCAAGCCCATTTTACAGGTGAGACTGAGACCCAAATAAATTTAACTGTAACCAAAGTCACAGAGTAAGTGGCAAGGCTGAGCTGTAGGTCTCTAAAGTCGATGCCCTTGGTTATTTTGTTCCACTGTCTACCGTAAGCGGAATAAACATGCCGTGAAAGACACATTAAATGTACTAGTGAGCAGGTGCTGGCTCACCTCTCGGCATGAAAGCTTTCTGATGTCTGTGGAGTTCTACTTTCCTAGCTACTCAATCTGATACAATGAAGAGACTCAGGCTTCCCAGCAGGCATCACACTCCTGTACTTCTGTTCCCTAGAGCACAGAGCAAAGGGCTCTGAGTCCTTTTCTTTTTTTATTTCCGGAAGTGAGAGTAACATTTAAAAAAATTAGTTTTCCTACCAGTACTTAAATCATAGGCTTCTAGCACATCAGAGTTTGAAAGGGTCTTAATAATAACAACAGCAAGCCAGGTCCTTTTCTCAGCCCTGTAAGTGTCTGATTTCCTTTGGTCCTCACTACAGTCTAATGAGGTAGGGACTGCTGTTATCCTCAGTTCATAAAAAGAAGACAGCAGCCAGAGTAGCTGGGTTGCCCAGCTACTAAATGGTAGAGCCAGGCATTTGAATTTCCAAGGCCATGCTCTTAACCATTGCACTCTACTGCTGATGTGCCTTTTGGCTCCAGATGTGTGAGGAGGGAGGCTTTAGGGAGGGCAAATGACTTGTCTAAGGCCATAAAGGTAATTGGTGTAGAAGCCTGGACTAGAGGTTAGTGCTTTTTTTACTCTGTCATCCTGTCGTTAATAAAATTGTTTTTTGAATTTTGACTTTCTGTAGCACCCAAGAATCTCCAAATGCTTCCAGAGTAATCATTTATCTTTTTCAGCCTCTTTGTAATGTCAAGAAAGGACACACAGCAGCTCTTCCTAGCTAAGGAAGCTGAGTTCCAGGGTGGGTTTCATAGCGTATCTGGTCTGCAGTGTTTGCTTTTATGTCTGGTGTTCATTTACTTGTTCTCTTTTCTTTTGGCTTGGAGATTTAGCTGGGTAGCCATCTTTATAAAGATCACTAGATTTTCTAGCCCCATATGGTATATCCCAAAGGATAAGTGTTTCTTAGAGAAAGGTAAACTCAAAAGAATCTGGTGTCTAGAGCCAAGTCCTGGTTTTCTGTTGATTATGTCTTAAAGGTCATTTGGCTTTCTGTATAAATGGTGTTTTCATGAGGCAGGAGATGGAACAGGAATCCCATGAGAGCAGCACTGGAAAGGACTTCTCACCTTGTGTGTTCCACCACCCTTACAGATAAGGAAATAGACATCCACAGAGGCCCAGTAACTTATCCAGGGTCTCTGAACTCTTGTCATTGCTCTGACAATTCTGTGACTATTGAGAGAGGTCTCATCTTATCATAGAAGGAGTGTGAGGAACAAGATTTAATACTGATGCAGAGAATGCAAAGAGACAGAATTTTTGGCTTGGTTGTGAAGGTGTAATAAGATCATACATTGTATACCAACTTGAGATATCTCTGTGTATAGATAGTGTCTTAGTCCCTTTGTGCTGCTATAATAAAATACCCAAGTCTGGGTAATATATTAAAAAAAACCACATTTATTTTGTACAGTTGTAGAAGTCCAAGATCAAAGTGTGTAGCAGTTTTGGTATCTGGTCAGGGCCTAGTCTTTGCTTCTAAGATAATGCCTTGTTTCTGTATCCTCCAGAGAGAACAACTACCTTGTTCTCACACACAAGAAGGGGTGGAAGTGAATGAACCTACTCCTTCAAATCTTTTTTAAGGTCTCTAATCCCATCCATGAGGGCTTCATCCCCATGACTTGTTTACCTCCTAAAGACCATCTTCTTTCACTGTGCGAGTTTGGGGGGATGTTCAGACCATAGCGGGCAGCCATCTGCCGTGCAGAAGAAGCATCATAGAATAGTGGTTAAGAGTATGGCTGCTGGGCCACACTTTCAGAAATCAAATCATTTCTCTACCACTTAGTAGCTGTGTGACCTTGGGTAGCCTGTCTGTGTTTCAGTTTTCCCTTCTATTAAGTAGAAATGATTACTGTAGTAACTGTTTCATAGGCTTGTTGGATGATTAAATGAGTTAATACATGTAATAGTGCTTAGAACCTGGCACCTAGTGAGAGGTCAACAAATATCAGTTGTTGTTATTACTCATTCAATTGCTTGTCAGCCAAAAGGCCTCCTCCCTGTGGCTTCAGTCTGCATCTTGCTGAATTCTTTCCAGCTGGAAATACTTCTTGGCCATCCTAGGTGGTAAAAGGAGCAAAGCCATTTTTCATGACAGATGAATGTCCCTGTGATGCACATGTTCACCCCTAGAGTCCAGACTCAGTGGCTGCCTTCTAAAGGCAGAGTGGCAGAGAAGGCCTCAGTTTGGCTCAGGTACAATGTAAAACCATGTGCATTATGGTGAGGTATCTTGACATCTGCCTTCCTATTTCTTTGCCTGACTGTGGCATGGGACCACAGATACCATCTCCTCCAAGTTACTGCTCTCTAAATTACCCAGTATTGGGGCGATGTAATTAATGTTCAATATAAGTCTAATTGGAATTGTCACTAAGAACCCCCCTCGTATAATGAATATATCCTAATAAAAAATTATAAAAGTAATAAATTGCTCATTATTGTCCTAGATAAAAGAGATTTTGAAAACTTAGAATGTTGTAGGTCTTCTTCCTAATCCACTCAGTGGAATAGCTCCTAGGGAAGAGAGGGATCCTAATCATAAGACTGCATTCTTGCCAGGTGCCAGTGGCTCACGCCTGCAATCCTAGCTACTCAGGAGGCAGAGATCAGGGGGATTGTGGTTCAAAGCCAGCCCGGGCAAACAGTTCACAAGACCTTATCTTGAAAATACCCTTCACAAAGAAGGGCTGGTGGAGTGGCTCAAGGTGAAGGCCCTTAATTCAAGCCCCAGTACCGCAAAACAAAGCAAAACAAAACAACAAAAAAACAAGATTCCATTCTTTCAGATGAAATTTCTGCTTTCAGCTTGCCATTTTTTCCTCAGGCCAGGAACCATCACTCTGCAGGCACTTTCAGAAGCTAATAGAAGGCTATGGATGGAAGCCATGGATGGGAAAGAACCTGTAAGTTACCTCAGACACTGGGGAGAAGCTGGCAGCACAGGCCAGTGTATGAGTGCCCTCTAGTGGTTATCTGTGGGTCAGACAATGAAATGGTCACAGATTGTTCAGATTCAAAATATTAAGAGCTGTAAAGAATTGTCACTTTTACATCTCTTACTTAGTGAGGCAACTTGAGTTCCAGAGAGGGTGAAGGACTTGTGACGTCTTTAGAGAAGGCATCAAAGCTCCTTGCTCCAATGTTAGGCTATACCCACAAGATCTTAAGAAACAAAAGCAAGTCTTTTTTTCAGATTATAAAATTAATATTTCTTCATATAGAAGAATGGAAAATAATTGTTATGAAACTTATTAAGCTTTTATTCAAAATTATTTTTCTTCCCCCTCTTACACTCTGAGTTTAGCTTATTCTCTGTCAGGGTTCAGCTGGGGGAAGAGATGGAGTTGCTGTCCTGTATCCCAAGATACTCCTTTGAAAATGCTGTTATGCAGATGCACCTGCGATTCCTTAAAAGAGTTAGCAATTGTTCTAGAGAGACAATATGATCAGTCAGAAATCATTAAAGATCATTCTCTCTTCGGTATCTTTTTAACAGGTTTCTTTTAATGGCATATGACATAACACAGCTTCCCCTACTGAAAACACAGAAGACTGGAATTGGGTCCTACTTCTGCCATTAAATGAGTGTGGCTATAGGAAGTCATCTCACTTCTCTGCCACTTCGTTTTCTTCTCCCCAGTAAAATGGCTTTAGTATTTTCAGATACACCTACCTCACAGATTGCTTTAAAAAGTCAAGTGAAAGCTACTCTGTAAATATTAATGTGCTATTTTTGTTCTGAATGCTCCTCCCTGATTGAAGGACAGGAGCTGAGCTACTGAGATTGATCAGTATTTGAATACTGTTACCTCCTTGCTTTTTTCAAGTCAAAAACTAGCCAAGAGAGAAAATGCATTGTAGGTTTTTCTTTCCTTGTGTCTGTCCTCAGTGCCCTGGGGGGAATAAAGAGGAGTAACCAGCTCCCAGATTGTATTTGTGGCAACCAGGCAGGTAGCAGTTGAGAATTGTTGTGAAAGACTGCCATCCAGACAGTAGGCCAGGACCCGTCTTTCCTCTGGTCACCTCCTCTTATATGCCTGTGACAGTTCTAGGAGGATGCCAGGAGGTTCAGCAAGGCATTTTTCTCTCCATTCCCTTTCCTGCACGTGCTCTCCCTTTAGGTTTTTCAAGATTGAAGGATGCAGATATGGCGAATGATGCTGGAATAAGGGCCTACTGAATATGGAGCCTCACCACCAATCATGGCAGACTTTGCACAAAACTCTTGTTTATAAAAGTGCCAGTGAAGGTTGGCCAGTGCAGAAATATACTTTCCTGAAATTTCCATGGCATATATACATATGCACAAAGCTTTCTTTTAAAGCAGAGGATGTGTGAAAGCAGACTAACAGATGGCATATAGAGGGCATATTCTTGCAGCCTCACGCTGCTAGTGTTGTTGCTGCTTTATTAAACACTCCAATCCACTGATATTACACATTATGTGTGAGCTGTTGCATGTCAAGGAAGATCAGGGTTTGAAGGAATAGTTCAAATCTTGATCACTTTAGTGATAGAAAATTTGACACCTAGAGAATGGAAAGGGCATGCCCAAGATTTCCTAATGAGATAGAGGTGGAGCCCGCTCTAGACTTTAAGAGACAAGAATCTCCCTTCTGGTCTCTTAAATAGCTATCACAATGCATACTTCAAGACACTGAAATCTTGGGAAATGTATAGATTTCTTTCAGATGGATTCTTGCCTTTCCAAAGAGAAATATCCATTAGCTAGTCTTTGGGGTGGGGGGATTGGTGTTGCCAACATTTACATTTTACCATTAATACCCACTACCCAGGTGTCCGTGAGAAAACCACTTCTTTTTTTCTTGCATTCATGCTCCATGAGAAAAATGCTCCAAACTTTACATAAGTAAACATCTAAGATGGATTTGCCACAGCTTTACCTATAACGAACTATGTGAAATTTAGCAGGATTTTCAGGGATTGTGAAATTGTTTTGTAAGGACCTGGGCTGGTTCTGTCTCATCCACTTTTTCTCATTCTTACAGCCCTAGAGCCTAGAGTCTCTAATGATTTTGATGGCCTATCTGGGGAAGCAGACTTAATACTATTTGTCCTACTTATCTCTAGTGATTCACAACAGCCATGGCTCTTTCTGTTTCTCTTCTTTTGTAGATCTATCACAGCCCCATAACGAAACAGGAAGAAAGTGAGTCATTCAAATTTCTGCACTACTGACATTAAAAACTGCAGGCTGTCCCAGGGCTAGTAAATGCTGTCATGGGTGATATGTACTATGGATGTGAGTCTGTATATGGATGCCTCTGTTTGAATGAAATTCAGCTCTCTTTTTTAAAAATCATCTGCTGATCGAACTAAGGAAGTCACTTCATCATAGCTTAGGATGGTAGTAGTGATATGGAGGAATACATTGCCTTCTTGTTCTAGGCATGATAGCAATGATTTGCTTTTCCAAGTTACATTTCATATTTGATGCTGCTCATGCAGACATAATGTGAAGGGCAAAATGAAAGCATTTTGTGTTAGAAGAGTTAAAATCCTAATTCTTCCCTGAATGAAAGGATCTTTCAATGTAAGGGTGATTGGAAATGAGCAACTAGACCATTAGTTCTCTCACTGCAGTCCCCTAGTGTAGCCATTGAATGTTTGGTAGGGAATGCTTGTTGCCAAAGGATCTAACTTTGCTTTCCTTCGCTTAAAACAGTGGAGCTGAATGAAGTGGGGTTCAAGTTTGTTAGGAAGTGCATCAATATCGTTGAGACCAAAGGTAAGATCCAAACCATAGCTTTGATGTTGTATTCTGATTTTATCCTCGGGTACTTTCTCTAAAGTAGCATTGGTATCATCTATTGGTTAGGGTCCAATTTTGGAATTGTCACTGTTTATAAACCTTGTGCATTGGACACGATTTGTAAAGTTTCAGCAAATTATAAACCAGTAGTATCCAAGCATATTTGGATCCTTTGTGGTTTCAAGCTTTTAAAGAGAAAGAACTTCAAATGGTCTATAATATTCTGAAGTAATACCCAGTGATCCTCAGTGTTTTGATAGTTCAGCCCCAGATAACCAAGAGTTCAATTTCTGTTACATATTTGTTTAAAAATTGATGGGGCAGGTGAGGGTGTGGCTTAAGTGGTAGAGCACCTTCCTGTCAAGTACAGAGCCCTGAGTTCAAACCCTACTATCACACACATACACACACACACACCCACACCCAAGGATGGGGGCAAAATTCAACTCAGCTACACTTATAGTCAGCATGTGTCCTAGTTGGCAGTAGTATATCCCCTCTGAGAACACATGTGGCTGTGGTATACGTGCCAAGCTTCTTTTTACTTTGAAATGTTACATTAGTCTTTCTCCATGCAGGAAATAGCCTTTTGTTCCATATCTGCCATACTCCAGATCTCTCCCCTTTTATATCACAACTCAAAGGGTAATATATCCTCCTTTTTCAATTAAGCACAAACTCTTTGCAGCATGGCAGCACCATTTTCAGCTGTCTGTGGCCACCCACCTAAGCACATGCTTCTGTTTATGATGGAGCGTGTTCTCTTCTGTTCAGATTAATGGGAGCCTGGTACAATCTAAATGAGAGTGTGGATGGTTATAGAGACATGCTCCTGGACTGTTCCTCTGTTACATGAAGAATGGAGAAGTGGAGAACTGGAAGAGCGGAGGGTAGTCCCTTTCTGTCTGAACGGACTCTAGTGTACAAGTACTTCCTTTTCTACCCTGGGGAAAATGAAAGCTCTAACTATCTGAACAAACTAACCTGATATTCTTTCCTTAGGGATCAAGACAGAAGGATTGTACCGCACCGTGGGTAGCAATATTCAGGTCCAGAAGCTGCTGAATGCCTTTTTTGGTAACAATTTTACATTCATAATTCTTATTTGGAGTGGTTTTTGTGTTAGAAACAAGTGTGATTGGAAAAGAGACATTGTTAAGGAAGATTGTAGAATGTTTTTGAGTGGAGGTCTTGCTGTTTGCCCAAGCTGTTCTCAAACTCAGGAGCTCAAGTGGTCTTCCTGATTTAGCCTTCCAAGTAGCTGGGACTTAAGGGCACCATCACTCCCAACCTGTAGAATATTGTAAAAATATTTTTGAAGGTAAAATGCATAATACTTTGCCCACACTGAGTCGGAGGAAATCTTGCCTTAAAGAAATTGCTTTCACCTCTCCTTCTTCTCCCCTGTCGTTCCATTCACTCCTCCATCCCACTGCAGCCTGGCTTATACCTCTGCTTCTCTACTGGACTTGCTGTGGCCACACTTAGCAGGTATCTGCTTATTAAATCCAGTGAGCACTCTTCAGTCTCTGTCTTCCTTCATCATCTCATTGACCACTCTGTCTCCTTTTTGAAAACTTTCTCCTTACTTGACTTTGATGTATAACAATCTCCTTTTTCTTGTAACATCTTGTACTTTTTCTTTGTCAGTGACTCTTACTGGGTCTTTTTCTTTTTTCTTTTTTTAAAAAAAAGAAATCTTGTCTGGGTACTTCCCAGAGTTCTATCTTAGCTCCCTCCCTTTTACTTCTTTCTCTTTATGTTCTTCTAGTCATTGGTTTTTGTACTGGCTTTGTGACACATTTTCCTTTTTGAAAGTATATGTCTAATTATCTTTATTATTGGATGCTGGGTGTCATAACTTAATAAACGTCTTGTTTTCATTGACTTCTTTGAAAGAACATTGAAGTTTTGCTTTGTAGGCAGTTTTTTGTGGATTAGTTTGATTCATTCAGGCTTTTTTTTAAAGCTTTGTTAGGTTAGACATAAAGTTTCTTTTACTGACTAGTTTTTAGTAAGGCCTGACTTAGCTCTTCATGTTTACTGATTAGAACACAAACATCTCCCAGTTCTGTGTAAGTTCTGGGAATTGTTCAGCTTAAAGTTCCTGGCATTTTGCTGCCCAGTCCATTTTGCTTTACCCTAGGCTTATTATTCACTCATGCCTTTGTATTCAGCAATGGAGTCAAGCAGACCCTTGGGGAGGTTTTGTGAGTTTGTCCTTTATATAGCTCCTTCTTCTCTGGTACTCTGCTCTGGAAAGTTTAGCTGTATCAGCCTGCTGGAACTTTGATCTTTGATCTTCAGTTGAGTAAGACTTCGATGCTCAGTCTGAGTTCTTACTCCCTCTGCTACCATGAAGAAAGTGCTTTCAGATAGCAAGCTGTGGAGATAATAAGGGTTATCTTACTTGTTCCCCTTTTGTCAGAGTCTCATGTTTAATGACTGCAAATATTGCTTTGTATATATTGTCCAGTTTGCTAATTGTTACAGTAGGAGGACAAGTCTGGCACCAGTTGCTGTACCGTGGAAGTCCCTCTGTGGTTTTTACTAATACCTGTATTCTGACAGTTCCCCCAAATCTATCCAGACATCATCTCATGAGTTCTATACAAATTTTTCATGTTCCCCACTGTATTTGTGCTTTTCAACTTGATTTTGTTCATCAGATTGATATCTATATGGCATACCATCGTAATCATATCTATATTGCATACTGAGGGGGATGAGCATGACTGAGGCAGCAGGTCCTAAAGGCTGAGTGGGTCAATACTGGAATCTCTGCCATATGCTCTCCACCTACATCTGCCATATCCAAAATTAAGCTGATTGTTTTTCTCTCCTTGCAAGCCTGCTTTTCGTCCTTTTGTGACTGGTGAAGTATCTGGTAAGCGTTGTTTTCACAAAGTGTCAGAGGCATTGCGTGTGGAAAGCTGCAGTTTGGATAAAGTGCCTATTTTTTCTTTCATTTTTATTAACATATATTCATTGTACACATTGTGCCAATTCCCCATAGCTATACATTATACATTGGTTAGATTTAAGTGCCTATTTTAAAAAACATTTTTATTAGCATGTATTAGTTGTACAGGGGATTTTCATTATGACATTTCCATAAATGCTTACAATGTACCTGGTTAGGTTCACTTCCTCCATCATGTGAAGTGCATATATTTGGTCTTTTCTGTGATGCATGGCTTATCCCCCACAACCCTGCAGGCATGACAGCCAACCCTGTTAGCATTTGCAGATGCTACAGTCCCCAGTAATGCAGGTATGGTGACTTTGCATTACAGATTGCATCTTCAGTAGCCTGTTTTCCTTGATAATGTTTTCCTTGATAATGTTACACTCTTGACTTTTCAGACTTCACATTGCCTTATTTCTGGGCCATTTATAATGCAGCACACTAGCAAAATGACACCTTTTCATGTGCTAAATAGATGACAGTGTGACCCAGGGTATTGAGTTTGTGAAAAATTGCTGAACTCAGTTCAGCTGTTTAGAATTCTGTTTCTGTTACTGCTACACTGCCTACCTGATGTATCATAAACTAGAAGAAAATGTCATGCCAGGAATTCTGATTGTTTTTTGTTCCTTTATTGTTGTGCTGGGTGGGGGTACATTATGGAATTTACAAAAGTTCTCACAGCGTATCAAACATATCGTACTTGAATTCAACCCCTCCACCATTCTCCTTTATCCTCCCCTCAATTCCTGGAATGGTTTCAACAGGTATCATTTTTGCATTTACATACATGTGTACACATTTTTTGTACTGTGTTCACCCTCCTACCCTCTTTCCCTACCACCTTCCCCTTCCCTGGTACCAGCCCACTCCCTACTGATTGTTTTATAGAGGGTCTTTAATAGGATTGAAATTATACACCTAAATTGCACATAATAGTGCAGTTTGATTTGGATGTCAAGGAAAGTGACAGGATTGGCATCTCATCCATTCAACACCATTCTCCAAATATTGACACACATAGACACACATAGAAATATTTGAAATGTAGTCTAGAAAGTTCTGGATATAAATAGAATAAAAGACAGAGCCAGGTATGTAGTAAATGAATGTAATCCAAGCACTTGGGAGATGGAGGCAGGAAGATGGCAAGTTCTAGGCTAGCCTAGACCAATACAAAAAACAATTAATGCCAGTGTTAATTTCCTTACTTTTATATTAAACTGCTAACTTTGGATCCCTGCCCCAAATCTAAAAAATTCTATACCTAGTGATATAAAATTCATTTCTTTCAGCAAATATTTGAATACCTACCAAGGGTAAGGCATTATGCTTGGGGCTGTGGATCACACATTTCCCACCTTCGCAGTGTTTATAGTCTACTCAGCTGTCCCAGTGTCTAAGTAAGGTCTCCTTCCTTCTAAGTTTCTTTTCTGTTATGTCTTCCAGGGTCCTCAGGGATCCTCAGAGTTGTCTTGCTTCTTTCCTTCCTTTCCTGATCTATTCTCACCATGAGGGGCTTGCTGCCTCGGCTGCATGTGGCCCACCATGATTTACCCAGGACAAAGAGCATTTCATTTTCTTTTACATGTGTACCATCCTGTCCTCTCTTCTTTCTTTCTCATGTTGTATGCCATTCAAAAGGACACTTCCAGCTATTTTTTTAAAAAACTCTTAACAACCCACAGACTTCTTTCCCTATGACATCTCCTGTAACATACAACTGTGGGCCTTTTTTCTGCTGTTTACTACAGGCTTTCCTTCTTCTCTTACCTGGAAATTGCTCTTTTGGCAAATAAAGTATAGCACAGACCACAAAGAGGACACATTCCCAATCAATAACTACTTTTAGTCAGTCTGTCGTGCAGTTAGTGACATTCCTTGCTTATCTGAGATTTTTACATGTTGCCCTATGTTCATAGATTCTACAAACTGTGTTAATCTAATCATCTCGGGGACAGTTTGGTACCTCATCCAAGAGTTATGCTTTTCTATCCTTTATCAAGCCACAGCCTTCTTACTAATGAGAATGCCTACTGTTTCCAATATAATCTTGATAATTGTACTGTTCTAATATTTCACACTGGCTGGAGCAGAGGGGTGGGATGGAACATGGAGAGCAGTGAGACTGGATGTATAAGGAGGGGCCTTCCATGAAGTTGAGCTGGGCTGGGAAACCATAGGCAGAAAAGAGTTGTTCTCACCACTTACCATGCCAGAGCTCTACTGATCAAAACAGAAGAGGACTTGTCATACAGAGTGAGGAAACAAATCACTGCTGTGATGTTGCATTGTTATTTTCATTTCCTGTTTGGGTATTTAAATTTCTCATTTCACCATTATGCTATTAGAAGAAAATAAATTTCCTTTTCATAAACCAAATGGAATACCTAATATAATCATATATAGACAAATAAAGTAGAAATGTGCACATAGGAATGATAATATGTTTTTCTGTCTCTGTACTGAATGTAAATTACTCAGCCTTGGAAGATACCTTTAGCATTAAACTCTGGATAATAGATAAGAAGCATATTGAATAGAAACACCTTCAAATTATATGAGATTTTTGTGTGAAGGAGAAATACAAAGTACCCTTGTAAATAAAGGCAAAAGATATCATATGTCAGGAACTGTAGAACTTCATAATTAATTTTTAAAGGACTTAAGATCTTAAGATCTTTAACTTTCAATATATATTGAAAAACTTTTTCTTCTAAAGCCAGATCCCTGTATATGGGTGTATATGTATGCATATATTTCCTAAAGAAATTTTATACAGATTCAATCAATAGGTTAATCACAACTATACTTACTGCCCTAGATACATTGATTATTCTTGGGTCATACTTGCTTTGAATTAACACTACTAGAGGTTGAAGTAATTATCAAAAGATATTTAATGTTCCCCTTTTAAAATTATTTCTATTTTTATATGGAGTTAAAAAATTTAGAAATGAAGTTTGTGATATGAACATTCTTCCTTTTCTATTGTTTTTTCACAGTCTGAACAACTGATATGGAATTCATGTTTGGTGCCCAGCTGATTATGTCACTCTTTCCTGGAACTTGTCAATGTGTAAAAAGTAGGCAGGAATTTTCATCTTGG